CGCGTAGGCCTACGCGTCCAAGAAACTTTTGTACGGGACCAATGTTCTAGAAAGCGGGGGGTTGTTTTATTTTGTCCCGCTGAGGTACTCCGTTCCGTCCGTCCGCTTGCAGGCCCAATCCCATCGGAGCTTGGGCAACTTTCAGCATTGGAGACGCTCCACCTTGAGGTCAACCAGCTGAGCGGTGAGTCAACATGTGATTGGATGACGGTTCCACGACTGATTTTGCGGCGAGTCCCGTGTACGAATCTCGCTGATACACGTGAGTAGACGCCAACGCGTCAGCAGGATTCTTGTTTCGTGAACAAGAAAAAATTCAACTCTTCTTCGATTATCTCACCTGTGAGATTGTTGCGGTGGAGCAAAAGCGCTCCCAGCCTACGAAGTGCTCCCAGCTCCTTGGGGATGGGTCCTGCACAAGCATGCAGTAGGGAGAAATATCAGTAAGGACAGTTCTAGAAAAAAAATGCGTGGAAAAGATGTCCCGCGAGTTCCGAAATTGTGAAATTTCGTACCCGCCTACGTCATTGGCGTCATGAAAGTTATCCCNTTCTTACCGCTTAGCTTGTTGTGTTCAAGGTCGAGCGTCTTCAGTGCTTCAAGCTTGCCCAGCTCCGCCGGGATGGTGCCTGCCAGAAGAATATAAAAATAACTTGGCGGGAGAAAACAAAATTTATCCCCCGGCGTCTAGAAAAACGGTCCTGCCAACGCATACGCGTCCATCCAACTACATGCAAGGGATGTTTCACAGCATCATCAAATGACAAAACTATAACAACCGCCAAATATATCGTGAAAAATGTAATTCGTACCTGTAAGCTTGTTGTTGTCGAGCCGCAGCTCCTGCAGCTCGCTGAGAGCCCCTAGTTCCGGTGGGATGTGGCCTGAGAACGGACAGGGGGAACAGAATAGCTGAGTGGGGCAAAAAAAAGAATCTCCCCGCTTTCTAGAACACACCTACTCACCTACAAATGGACGCGTAAAAACTGTGAAATTTCGTACGCTCCTACGTCATTAGCGTCATCAAAGTTATCNCACTTCGTAGGCTGGAGAAGCTTTCGCTCCACGGCAACAACCTTACAGGTGAGATAATCGAAGAAGAGTTGAATTTTTCACTTGTTCACGAAATAAGAATCCTGCTGTACGCGTCCATGCGCGTTTCTACTAAAGCCAATAGAAATCGAAATCGTACTTTCGTCATTTCTCACCTTTAAGACGGTTCCAGTGCAGTTCAAGCTGCCTCAGCTTCGTAAGGTCTCCCAACTCCTTCGGTATAGAACCTGCGGGAGCCAGCAGTGCACAGACTTCAAAATTCAGGTTTCAACAGAAACGTGTATGGACGCGGACGCCTACGCGTCCACTCAAGTTGTGGGACCGATATTCTAGAAAGCGGGGGCTTTGTTTTTTTTGTCCCGCTAAGCTTTCCGTTCCCCCCGTCCGCTTGCAGGCCACATCCCGCC